AGAAGAGAGAGGTTTAAAGATTTTATAAGAATATATAGAAAGGGCTATAGAAGAAGAGTATAGCTAGCTAATCTATTACACAAGCTACCAGTCCCTAATATATTAGGTCTACGGCTATGCAGTAGTGAATCTCAGTAGTTATCTTTAAGTATAGTATATTAATATAAGCAGCAAGACTTAGAAGGCTATCTTAGCTAAATATGCCGACCTGACCCTATAAAGGCCGCTAAAAGATAACTTTTGCTATAGACTATTAAACTTAAGGCTGCTGATCGAGGGTCTGCTTATATACTATAAATTCATATATAATTACTATAGATTCCTTATCTATAGCAGAAAGTATCTAAAGATACACCACAATATAAAATATAATATTAAGGGCCTAAAAGATCATACAAAGCCTCAGCCTAGTATTAAGATATAGATATTTTTTACTCAACCTATATCGGCTATTTACTACTTCTACATTACTGGCCCTAGTCAAGGCGGGAAGGAGGGAGAGGGGGAGGGGGAGTAAGAAGGAGGGGGAAAGGAAGAAGAAGTTGCAGCTACTCTAAAAGGAGACTAGCAGCAGTACTCCGAGATAATTGCTAAGATCAAGGAGCAATGGAAATACAATCAGACCGAGCAGGAAGGGATGTAAAAGGTTCTTGCCGACGGGGCTGCTAAGTATAAGATTACCAACTGGTTGAAGCATTCCGGCTGGACTGCCCACTTCGTAAAACGAGATCTAAGCGGAATTTACATCTACAGTCGAATGCCAGGCCCGGAAGACGACGCGCTGCAAAGGCTGGTTACGGCCGTTAATTGGATGTTCTTCAACTGCTATATAGATGGCCTCTCGAGCATGCCTCTGATGGCAAGGCTGCTTCTTGCCAGCCCTCACCCGAAGGATGCCCACAGTCGGCCGTTCGGGCTGCTACAGGAGAAGACTAGTATGGATCGGTATCTGATATACTAGAAGCGGTTCCTATGTTACTGCCTGAATGTCCTTTTACTAGACGAGGCCACGCTGCTAGAGACGCACGGATTCGGCTTCCCCAGCAGCTAGCGGAGGAGCCTTGAGATGTTATGGGAGTACTTATAGGATGAAGATTGGCTGGAAGAGGATCTAGAGGAGGAGCTGCTTTAGGTGTCAGCCGGCTTCTGGATGTAGCGTCTGGGCGGAGACCCCTTTGCCAGTCCGCTCTGGTACTTCGTTGCCGTTCTGGGGATTGATGGCGAGTCTGGACAGCTCCGGCCGGCCCACCTCTTTACGTACGTGCTGGCAGGTATGGTATATGTGGGAAGGGCCTTGCTGGCGGAGTATGCTATCCCGACCGAGAAGCGATTGGGGATGGGAGATTTCGAGCAGCGCTTTGCCCAGGTCTGGGATGCCTAGCTATGCAAGGCGATGTATTCGCCGATGGGGTACACACTTAGCCTGCTCCTCTATGGCCGCAAGATTGCAAGAGAAATAGGCAGCTGGCTGATGGTGTCTTGGAGTAAGAAGGGTGACCTTATGTACTTTATGGGGAAGCCGATTCCCATGGACGACATCTGGGGTATGATAGATAAGATGATTACGGATGTGGAAGACCTGTTATGGAATAAGCTGATGTTTAAGGAAGGGGATGATATTTGTTTTACGATACCGCTAGCAGATATTAAAGACAATTTGACACAGACGCAGCGGGGGAAGTTCTTTATATATAGTAATGGCTTAGCTGGGAAGGAGGGGGAGATGCTCGAGGACCTTGTCTGTAGAAAGCGGAGGCAAGAGTTCCTAGATAAAAACGGCTAGTGGAAGTGGGCAGGCATCTATAAGTACCTAAAGGATGTGGAATAGTTTAAGGAATAGTTGATGCTGTTGGTTTATATGGGCGGAGGCGGACTGGTATGGGGTGACGAGCTTGGGGGATTGCGCTGGGTTAATAGTATCAACTGCGACTGGGGGGTGTTTATTATTGATGGTGAAATGGTTACTGTGACGCAGTATTACAAGTCGCTGGTACACTTCGACTCCCCCAAGGTCATACTACGCTTCTTGCCGCCTCGGGTCGCCTAGCTTATAGTAATATACTTTATATTCATCCAGCTACTTACTGATTGGTGGGAGGCGGAGCGATGGGCTATGTATAGTAAGATGAGACTGCCAAGCGATTTTATCTGGTATAATGAGAACGAGCCGTAGGAGGGAACCCGGATATTAAGGGCAATAGCAAAGTAGTCCTATTGTTATATGGGCCGCAGAATTACCCTACAGGATTGGCGGCACATTGCCATTGCCATCAGCAAGAAGCATACTCGCTAGCGTGGCGCTACCAAGGCCGACTTTAAAGAAGACAATGACGACGACGACGCGGAACGATATGAGAACCCGGACGATCTGGCTGCGGCCCATACGACGGAGACATCTGCCAATTATGGTGTTACCATTGACATACTCAAGTGCTTAACCGCTGAATCCCTTGAGATATTCGGTTAGGTTAGTCACTGGTGGTATAAGTTCCTCGGGCTCGACCAGCCTAACCGCGAGTCCGCGGTCATCGAGTGCGACGCCGCCGCACTTGATGACCGGCTTCACCACTCGCCATTGGTCCAAATCGCCGCAGCCCCCTGTCGGCTGCCTCCACCGGCAGGGGACTGTCGCACTTGATGACCGGTCGCACTTGATGACCGGTCGCGAGCCAATCAGAGAGAGGCAAAAAGGGGCAAAAGAGAGAGAGAGAGAGAGAGAGAGAGAGAGAGAGAGAGAGAGAGAGAGAGAGAGAGAGAGACCTTTTCTTTTCTCTTTTTTCTTCTTCTCTTCCCCTTACCCTTATCTTCTTCTTCTCCTTTCTCTTTAAGCTTAAAGAAAAGAAATAAAAGAGAAAAGATGGCAGCAGAAGAAGAAAAAGATAGGGAAAGAGCTGCCCAACTGCAGCAAAAACAGCTAGCAGCAGCAGCTATAGCTTCAAGCCAAAGCTGGCTCTACTACTATCCCTGCCTTTCTATTCTTATCTGTGCAACTCATGGCTACGCTGTAGCCGACCTGCCAAGTCATCTATTAAAGCAGCATACCGACCTTAGCTGGCCTATACGCCAGGCTCTTGCTAAGCACTATAGCCAACAGAACCTCAGCGGCTCTGGCTGGCGGCAGCAGCTACTGCACAAGAGGCCGGAAGGTAGCCAGCAAGGCCAGGATCAAGACCTAGAAGAGGCAGCAGTAGCCCCCTTTGCCGGGCTCCCTATCCACTACGCATTCCGATGCCGCAGATGCCCCAGCTTTCTAACGGTTAACTGGAAGCTCTGCAAAACACACTGCAGCCAGCTCCACGCAGCCGGCAGCGAGCAGGCCCGAGCAGGCCTCTGGTATCAGGCTCCGGCCCAAACCTTCTTTACACAGCCAGCTAGGCGCTCCTACTTTCCTGTTAACCTGACTGCTGCTGCAATAGCCCCAAGCTCAAGCTTAAGTTCAAGCTCCTTCAGCCCAAGCCCGAGCTGCAGTATGGAGCCCAGCCTGCCAGCACCGCTAAGAGCCGGCAATGCTGAGAATGGAGCAGAGGCACAGCAGAGGCAGCAGCAGACAGCTCAGCTTGTAGCAACTATTCAGCAGCAGTGGGAGCACGAGCAGGGCGAGCAGCAGGAAAAGCTGCTCCAGATGGCTGAAGGCAGCATATACAAGCATGAGATCACCAACTGGCTGCGGCGCACCGGCTGGGTTGATCACTTTGGCTGCCGAGACCTAGGCCGAATCCACGCCGCCAGCCGGATGCCGCAGCAAGCAGACGAGCCGGACCTACAGATGCTTGTTGAAGCCCTAGACCGGGTCTTCTTCCGCCGCTGCATCGCCGGCCTCGGGGCGCTGCCGCACATCGGCCGGCTCTACCTGGCCAGCCCCCACCTGCAGGAGACTCACAGCCGGCCCTTTGGGCCCCTGCAGGAAAAGGACAGCATGGATCGATATCTGCGCTATAGCAAGCGCTTTCTCTGCTACTGCCTACGGGTTCGGACGCTTGAGCCGGCCGAGCTAGCCACACAGCACGCTCTTATTCTTACCCCAATGCAGCGAGGCCAGCTTGCAAGGCTTGCCCGTCGGCTCGAGCAGGCCGTGGCGGCAGGCTGCAGCTATAGTAGCGGCAACAACAGCGATGAGGACGAGGACGATGAGGGCGGCTGTAGTAACAGTCATGACAATAGCAAGATAAGAGCCCAGGTTGAAGAAGAGGTCCTACAGGCTTTAGCCAGCTTTTGGATGCAGCGCCTTCCTGCCGACCCCTTTGCGAGCCCGCTGTGGCACTTTGTCGCCGTCCTGGGGATCAACAAGCAAACCGGGCAGCTGCAGCCGGCCCATCTATTTACAGGCACTCTAGCCGGCCTCGTATATACAGGCCGAGCTGTTGTAGCCGAGGCGGCGATCCCCAGCAGCCAGCGGGCGGCACTGACAGATCTGCCCGAGCAACTGCATGCAGCAAGAGAGAGCTGGCTATGTAAGACCAGCTTTGCACCAATGGGCTATATCTTGAGCCTGCTGCTCTACGGTCGGAAGATTGCAATGGAGACCGGCAGCCGGCTTGCAGTCTTGTGGAATGCTGAAGGAACCCTGCTTTACTACCACGGTCAGCCTCTTGCAATAGATAGCATCCGGCAGCTAGTGGCCAGAATGACGGCAGATGCTGAAGATCTTCTATGGGAAAGACTGCTATTCCGGCCCTCCAGCAGCAGCAGCTGCAATACGGCAGCAGGGCCAGCCGGGCCCTATATACAGCAGACAGCCGGGCTTGAAGCTCGAGGCCGCTTTCTCATCCCTCTAGCAGCTATTCGCGACGATCTGACCCAGACCCAGCGCGGCCAATCCTTTATGCATACCAACGGCCTGCTGGGGCGGGAAAAGGAAATACTCCAGAGCCTTGTGGCAGGCCCGCTGCAGAAGGAGTTCCTCGACAGCAAGGGCGAGTGGAAATGGCCCCGGGTCCAGCGGTATTTACAGCAGGTCAAGCACTTCCAAGAGCTGCTATTAGTCCTCATCCATCTAACCAACCAGCCTCTTCGAGGGCCGGAAATCACCGGGCTGCAGCTCGTCAACGGCATCAATCGGAACTGCAGCGTATTTATCATCGACGGCAAGGTCGTCTTAGTCAGCCAGTATCACAAATCCCTTGCCCACTTCAACAGCCCTAAGGTTATCCCTCGGATGCTGCCGGGCCGGGTTGGGCAGCTTCTAGTAATATATATACTTTACATCCAGCCCTTTACAAACCGGCTCGAGAGCAGCCGGCTAGCCCTCCGCGATAAGGTCTATCTACCGAGCAACTTTATCTGGCATCAGCACGAAAAGCCCGGTACGCCCTGGAATAGCAACTAGCTATCTCGAGCCCTTGCCAAATAGACCCAGCACTATATCGGCCAAAGGATTACGCTGCAGCAGTGGCGGCATATCGCTATTGCCGTCAGCCAGCGGCATACTCGCGCCCGAGGGCCCCAGAGGGGGTATTTTAGCACAGCCAACCAGGCAGAGGATAAGAAGGAGAAAGAGGGCGAGAGCTATAAGAATGTTGAGGATCTAGCTGCTACACACACAAGCCATACAGCTGCCGGCTATAAAGTGACTATTAAAATCCTCAAGCAGCTAACCTCTAAGTTCTTAGAGGTCTTTGGCTAGGCTAGTTAGCACTAACACCACTTTCTTAGCTATATAGAAAAAAGAGAAGAAGCTGCTAGAAGGACTGGAGAGATTAAAGCTTAAGAGGAGGAAGAAGTAGAAGATAAAGAGGAAGCAGTAGCAGCTAATATAAAGATTAAGGCAGCTAGAGCTCATACTAGCATAAAAAAAACAGTCAGAGGGAAGAAGAAAAGTAGGGCCAATCTAAAACTAAGAGGCAGAGCTAAAGAGTAGAAAGCCTTTAAAAGAATCCAGCCTCTAGGGCTGCTACAGACAGCCGGGTCAGCTGCAGTTACAGCTATAAGAGGAGGCATAATTAGAGCCTTAGATAACCAGCTCCTTCTATAGACTTTATAGCAAGCCCTGTAGAATCCAGCAGCTAAGTTTTACTTAGCAGCATAGAAGGAAGCTATCTAGCAGGCTGCAGCCAAGCAGACCCCCCTCGTTGCCATCCTGCCTACTAGTACCAACAAGAACCTAATCTTTATAATGCCAGCCCTCCTAACTAAAGCCGGCATAACAATTGTAGTTGCGCCCTATCGGGCACTCAAGGACCAGCTTGTCAGCTGCTATCAGGATGCCGGCCTAGACTGCAAGACCTGGCCAGAAGCTCAGGATTCCTGGCCTACAGTTACAGTAATATCGGCCGAGGCTGCCGTCACTAATAGCTTCCTGCAGTAGGCAGCCGGCCTCAGCATCAGCAACCAGCTTAACCGAGTAGTTATCGATGAATGCCACCTCACCTTCACGGCAGCCTTAAGCTATCGAACCAAGCTGAAGGGGCTGATCCAGCTGCAGGGCCTTGCCTGCCTGCTTATCTTCCTTACCGGCACCTTGCTGCCGTATAAGCAGGCTGCCCTCGAGGCTGCTATGCTGCTGTAGAACCCCATCTACATCTGGGCCTCCAGCCACCGCCTGAACGTGCAGTTCCAAGTCTATAAGGTCCGCAGCAGCCAAGGCATTGCAGAGATAAAGCAGCATATAGCAGCTTAAGCGAGGACCTTGAAGGCAGGCAAGAAGGGCATCATCTTCTGCTGCAGCTATGCAAGCTGCAAGGCAGTTGCCCGGCAGCTCGACTGCTATTACTACCATGGAGATACAGAGGCCGAGGCAGGCAAAGATGGGGACGAAGCCAGCCGCAGTGCCTTTCTAGCCCAGCG